CTCTGCCTTCACTGTCTGTGGCAGTTTTTCCTTGCTTCCCATGCTAAGGATGTCTTCTCCATTCCTTGTGGCTTCATTGCCTTGCTCACCATTTACTGTGTTTCCTTTCATCAAATCTGAACCTGCTGGGACCACAAGTTCTAGCCTAGTTACTAAAACATGTTATTCTGAACTGGGAGAGACGATAGCATAAGAACATGAAGGTTTATGAAGCAGAAGAGACTGAAGTAGATAGGAGTCTTGGTTTAGGGAACATCTTATCTTTAAGGGGGGTCTTTTTGGGCTATTGATAGGAGACAGTAATGTTCTGAGAGATTTGGAGACTGCTAGCTCAGAAATTCATGAAGATCACCAAGCTACACATTTAGCCATGTCTTTTAAATCTTTCCAACCCTGCTGACTTTCATGTGCCCTGAGCACAGCCCACTGCAGTGAGAACTTCTTCAGAGACTGCTCACACCCTATGCATGAGAAGGTTCCACTCAACAAACAGCCTGGATATGAAGGGCCCTGCTCAGCTCCTGGGGCTCCTGATGCTTTGGCTCCCAGGTAAGGAAGAATAATGTGGAGATTACTCTTCTCATATCAACAGAGCAGCTTGAGGCTTCGTGGAAGTACTTGGATAATATCATTAATTCAATGACTAATTGTTTTAATGTTTCCAATGTCAGGTGCTCATTGTGATGTCCAGTGGACCCAGTCGCCATCCCTGTCTACATCTCTGGGAGAGAGAAGCACCATCATTTGCAAAGCCAGTCAGGTCATTAGCAATTATTTACATTCTTACCAGACAGAGAGCGAGGAAAGCTCCAAAGCTCCTGATCTATTTTGCACCTACTTGGCAATCTGGGGTCCCATGGAGGTTCAATGGAAGTGGATCTGGCACAGAGTTCACTCTCAGCATCAGCAGCCTGCAGCCTGAAGATTTTGCCACTTACTACTGTCAGCAGGGTAATTAGTTACCTACCCCTGTGACACCAGTCATAACAAAAACCTCCCAGGGAAGCAGAAGTGAGAGCCTGGGCTGCTCCAGATGCTCACCCTGGTGCTTCCAACTGCTGAAAGAACATCTCAGACGCAGCCCCCATTTTAAGGTCACTGGAAAGCATTGGGAGATAGGTTCTGGAGTCAATTGCATACCTTAACTGTCTGTGCTCCTGCTCATCCCAAGCAGCACACACCTGACACTGCCTCTGCTGTGACTTACAAAGAACATTGCTCTGTACTCATATATGGTCCAGTCTGTCCTAAAATTCTGCAGTTATTCAATAATGAAGCCATTCTAGATATGTCAGAGCAGGTTTTTAAAGGCAAGGAAAAATATCTTGTGAAAAGCATTTTGAAAACTACTTTTTTTAAAGAAAAATAGTCGTTAAAAATTTTTAATTCAATTTTGGATTTCCATGGAATAATTTTATTTGAAGTACAATATGATGTTTGGGGATGCTAAATAATGTAATAAACAAATGAGTTGAGTACCTTCAACATTTATCAACTTCCTGTCAGGGAATTTTATTTCCAGCAAATGTATTTTTTTAAATAATTTCAACTCTCATGTCAAAACATACAACATTTTAATCTAGTTCTCAGAAAATTTGATTTGATACTGAGTATCATATAATTGTTCTAAACTTTCGAAAGTAGAGTGGAAAAATAAGTTTTTAAATAAATTCAGGAAATATCAAGAAAAAATTAACTAATACTTTGTATCAGGTTTTGGAAGGTTTGAACATGTTTTTTTTTTCTGGTGCTTGATCTTAGAAGTGTTATTCAGAGAGCAGATAACAAAAGCACCCTTGGCTTCTGGCATAGTTCACATAAATCCAAAATGAAGCATGGAAATAAATATATGTGAATAAATAAAATACATTTAAGACACTTGTGGAGTCATGCACTAGGTACAGTTACATAGTGACCCATATTATATCTATATTTATCAGAGTAATCAGAAGTGACTTCCATATATCCTACAGACATACTGAAAGTCATAAGTTCACATTTAGTAATTAACATGCATTCTTACACATGGAAATGTATATGGAAGGGAGGAGCTGGATTGGGAGGGATGGTTCAGAATGATGAAAGGCTGATAGCTAAAGAAGAATTGCATTTATAACCTCATATGTTTAATGGAAATCATTTTATACAACTCCTTATAGATATTAAAAATAGAATTTAGGACATGAGAGGTGTATGTATCGAGTTCTCACTTGTCCACACTCTCACCTCTGTCCAAGGTCCTTGCATATTGTGGATCGATAGGATTGAGTCCCTTCCACCTTCCAATCTTATATGTGATTAGAAGATGTCCCATCTCATTCAGAATATAAACAGGAAAGCAGAGAGGGAGAGCAGTGCTGGGAAGTGTATTTCCTGAAGAGACTGTGGTGATGGGAGCCCATAGCTGATGACCCAGTGAAGTTACCGCCCAACTCTCAGAATATATCCAGGAGGGCATTGCCCAATACCAGATACATACATGACTCTTCCTATTAGCAACTTGTAACTATAGCAAGAGTTTCAGGAAGTCTCAGTTCATGGAAAATGAGATATTTTCATGAAATATGTAAGGGACCATTCTCAAATAGAATAAAACTAAACATGTATGTACTAGTATTTTCTTTCCTACTCAGAAGGTGTCCAGAATTCAGGATCATCAATAGCATCTCCCAGAGCATGTTACCAATACAATATTACAAATCCACTTCACATCTATTGAATGTGAATTGGCATTTCAGCAAGTTAACAAGTAATCTCGGTAAGGATTAAGAAGTTGTATTTAGAAGAAGAAAAGTATCACATGTAGAGAGATGCTTTTTACCCCTCAATTAGCCTATTATGAGCACTTCTATTTAAACCAAATTTCTCTCTCTCTCTCTATCTCTCTCTCTCTCTCTCTCACACACACACATGTGTGTATACACAAAAACATGACACACCATTGTCAGTCCTTTTCTTTAACAAAGTAGCTGACCTAAACTCTGAATAAAGAAGAGTTTGTTTAAGTCATAGTTTTAGATGCCGAACGTCCCTGATGCTGTATCTTCATCTGTCTTTACTCTGAAGACTCTTTTGCATGTGGTACAATATGTTCTGTTAATAAAGAGAGAACCAGTTGTAATTTGAGCTGGCCAAGCCTATGGTTTTCTTCATTTGATAGCAGGTGACTATTATGAGAACTGCCTCACTGCATGAGAGTATCTTCAACCCTCTGATGAGCAGTGGGTATAACCTCCAATCCCATAATATAATCACTTCCCACAAGTCACCTATTTCATTGGTCAGGTTCATCCATTGGGGCAGCAGTACAAACATCCTGCATGTGCTCTTCCTTCCCTCAGGTGAAGTAGAGACTAAAATCTCTGAGACAAATAAACAGAGACTGGTTAAATTAGATTGGTACTGGAGATATTTGGAGATTTTATGTTAATTTAAGATAATCAAAATTATGTATATATATATATATATATATAATTTCAAGTAGTTACACAAAATGGTCTCACCTCAGTATGTCAATTGATAAGTACACCATATTTTGATCCTTTTACCCATCCTGTACTCTCCAGAGGAAACTTTAAGAATTCCTTTGATTATTTTGCTGTACAAATACATTGTGGAAGAATGACAAGATATTTAGTGAATTTAAAAAACGGTTACATTGAATTCACACTTTCAAGTGTAATAATTTTTCTCATTACATTAAAAGACCATTACGGTACTTACAACCTGCAAGAGAAAATTTTGTTATCCTTGTCAATTCTATACCCTCTATCTTAATATGAAAATGCTGGCAAACAGAGATGCAAGCATCCCTAAGAGATAACCTGGTAACTATGGTATGCCTCTTCATCTACCTCAACTCTGTGCTTTTATTGGTGAACTGTTTTGAGAATCAGTGCTGCTGATGCTTGACACTGTGTTTTTCTCTAGACTAGATGAGGGAGGAATGAAGTACCCAGGTACAATGTCCATTCCTTTCCTAGAGTCTCTCCTGGACATAAAGCTGCATATCATTGGGCCTCTGATGCTGTTTTAGGGTGGTGAGGTGATGTGCATCCTGTTTTTCCCTCAATTCCAGATATTATCAGTGGAGTCCTTCTTTCCATGCTAAAGGCATCATGGATTTTATTGGTTGTCACCAAATATAGAACAGATCTACTGCTACTTTGCTCAGAAGAGCAGGCCTTACTTCCCTGTGACTCTTCTCACACTGTTGCCCAGACCTGGCTATTTGCATATTGCTCCCTAAGGAGGACCTTCCTTTCTAAGTCTGAGATAAAGGCTCAGATCAGAACTTGCCTTGACCTGCCAAAACTCCTCATTTCATTCCTAAAAATGAAGTCCTTGTCTCAGCTACTGTGGCTGTTAATGCTCTGGATCCCTGGTAACAGCAAAGGAGGATGAGAAATGAGAGTGGGGTGGCAGCGTGAGATCTGAGATTCCAGTTGTGCCCTATACATGTGTTAGATGTGCAGGTCTTGTTAATCATGAGGGAGTAAGTGAGATTTAGGTCTGCAGAAGGAGTGAAAACATGTGTTTGGTGAGAATAATGTATTATGCCTAGAGCCCTATTTATGCTTAAAATTATCTCTATTTTTTCACTTTAATGAGCATGGAAGTTAGGGAGATGCCTTTTCTTTCTTAATTAAATCATTTAAGAGCATTTCTACTCAAATACCCCATTTCTCTCTCTCCCCCTCACACATAATCTGTATTAGTTCATTCATAAAACAAGTTTCTTTTCATAAGCTCTGAATAAAGAGTTTTGTTTAACTCACAATTTTAGATGCAAAATGTTTTTATATTATAAGCCAAACCATGTAATATTAATAATAGGTAATACATCAAAATAAAAATAAAAAGCATGTCTCTGTACGTTTGTGTATAACCTTGCACTTCTATCTTATTCTAATTTCAGGATCAAGTGGAGATGTTGTGATGACCCAGACTCCACTCCCCCTGCCTGTCACCCTAGGAGAGCCAGCCTCCATCTCCTGCAGGTCTATTCAGAACTTTCTATATAGCAATGGAAACACATATTTGAAATGGTTCCTGCAGAAGCCAGGCCAGTCTCCACAACTCCTGATCTATGAGGTTTCCAACTGAGAATCTGGGATCTCAGAAAGATTCAGTGGCAGTGGGTCAGGCACAGATTGCACATTGAAATGTAGCAGTGTGGAAACTGAGGATGATGGGGTGTATTACTGCTTTCAAGCTACACATAATCCTCCCACAGTGATACATCCCTGAACTAGAACCTCTCCTCTGGCTGGGTGAGCCACCCTCATGTGTTGCTGGTCTGGGAACCAGTAGAGAAGATTGTCTGAATGAGCTGAGGAGGAAGATATTGTGATCAATATGACTGGATGGACATGTAAAGCATATGATAATTGGATGACTTGGAAAGTACAAAGAGCAGGAGAAAATCATGGAAAGATAAGACCAGGAGACTTTAGGTAAACAATGAGGTATCTATTGAAAAAAAGATGTGTCTCTTAAGTAGTACTATAGACAATCAGTGATATAAGCATCAAGTATCTTCTATGATTTTATTCCCTTCATAAGGAAACTTATAAAACTTCCATCATGCACATGGTTTTGGCCCATACATACAGTCTATGTTATGTTTTCTGTTCAGAAGCTGGAAGCCCAGTTGTACTTTGTCTAGCATCTTCTATTTGTCCCCAAACCCTGCATAAATATCCAGCCCTTGACAGAGTTCTCTCACTGGTTCCTCATTGAATCAAGCTTGGGCTGATACAGTACTGGACTCTGCACACTGGTCTCTGGCCTTGTGTGTTCTGGGGATCTGGCTCTACTTGAGAGAGTAGAGTATGATGAAGTCATGTAATAGTGTTCAGAGGTCACAGAAGTCTGAGACTGAGCCCTTGTATCTTTCTTTTATTCTGTCTTGTATCTGTGTCTAGATTATATTAACAGTTTTATGGGTCTGAAGCCATGTATATCTTTTACTGTCTCTAAGACAAAAATTTCCATCACTTGATGGACAGAAACACTTTTGGAAGAGTCTGAATTTTTCTCACATGCTATGTCAACCTGGATGCAATATATCCTCCAGCTGGGTTCAGAGCTGTGGGATAGACCATTGATTTTCAAGTATCAGCATGGTTGTTCTAGTAATAAGGCTTGTGATCATGATCCCGAACTGGGTTGTCAGCCCATCAATGTAACTGTAAGAGGATCAGACACATGCATCCATGAGACTAGGCAGAGGCAGGCAAGCACAGGAGAAAGAATATTAAGCTTTATTAGAGAAGCCGTATTTCCCCAAGTGGTAGCACTTGGCCTCCATCACCATCCAGATAGCAAGAGGGTGTGACGGATAGGAA